TCAGGCACGTGATGTGACACACCGAGTGACAGCCCAGCAGCTCCATCTTGCTACAGCAGCAGAGAGGCTGCAGGGATGCAGCCAGGCTGGAAGCGCCCGTGGGGAGCAGACCTGCCACAGCCAGATGGCAGAGAGATAACGAGAAGAGATGCAGAGAAAGTGGAGTTGGACAAGCTGAACCTAGGAACAAGGCGTGCATTTTTAACAGGAAAGGTTATTTCTTACCAGAACAAATCCCAGAGGGCGGTGATGGATTCTTCAACAAGGGGTTTTTAAAACCACGAGAGGATGTTTTCCTAGAAAAACTGGGATTTGCCATGTGAGGTCTTGAGGATGCACTGGATGTGTTAGACTCTGTTTGCATCTGCCTTGTCCTGGAACTGAAGTTACCCTGCAGTGGCAAAACCAACATGTCCCCAAAGAGGTAACTGTACAGTCAGGGGACACTGGCCCAGAGAGACCTGCTGATAACGGACAGACCATAAAGTTTCTCAAAGGTCTCCACAGCTTTGACCTTTAAAAACAGCCTCTTTGTCCCCCTCTCCTTCCTGTCATACAATCCATTAACCCTTCGTGGCCGAGCAAAGCAACAGGACCCCCCTCCAGTGGGCCCCTATCAGAAACTCCATAATTTTTACAGCAGGGTGCTCCTGTGAGCTCTGTCCTCTCTGCACAGCTGGGAAACAACTCTCCAACAGCAAAGCCACGTCCCAGCACCTCCTGGCACAGACCAAAAATTACAGGGAACAGCAACAACTGTGTTTTATTCAGGAAAAGTACGATTCCTATTAAGATCCATGGCTAACATGGTCAGCACTGTGACCAGCAATGTGCTGTTCCTCCAACGTGTTTGTTCTAAATAAAACTCAAAACAGTGATAGAACTGCCTCTCTCCTGCTCAGGTCCTGCAAATATGCATCACCTTGCTCATGGGGACACCAGTGACACCACCACGGCTGGCAGGGTCCAGTGTGACCAGCAGTTAGGCTCCAGACTTTGGAAAGATTTTTACAGCACAGTAGTTATTTATAGAAGCCCGAAACAGAAGTGAGAGCCTAGAGAGCAGCGAGAAAGAGGAGACGGCAGGGCTGTAGCCAAGTCCGGCACGCCTGCTGTACAGCATCGCGGCTTCGCTGCCGGGCTGGTGGTATACACACATGGGAAAAGTTCCCCTTTGGGTGCCATGGGATGTTGCCGTGCAGCTTCTCATTGCTCTTTTTACCCCCACCACCGTGAAATGGGCTTAGTATCCCCCCCCACAGGCAGCAGGGACTGGCAGCAGCCAGTGAAGGGGGATCTGATCTGCTGCAGAGCATCCTCGCTGCTGAACTGCCTGCTCCTGGCAAAACCTGCCCCGTGGGGCAGCTGGAGGGAAAGGATGGGTCACATCTGGGTTTGATTTCCACTGCAGGGGAAAGCTGTCAACAGCATTGGAGACTGGGAGTCCTAGGGAGACCAAACTAGAATTTAACTGCGGGGAAAGGTGTGAATCAGTCTGCCTCAAAAGCCCCTGCGCCTTGGGCTGGGCTTTTCCCAGCGGTCTCCAACACCATCAGCATCTTTTGCCCTGCTCTTTCTCTGGGGTAGGGTGAAGGCACATGGAGCCATGGACAGCCCCAGCAGGGGATGCTCTCTGGGAATACGAAGCACCTTGTCCACAGGACAGAAGTGAAAAGGAACGATGCAAGAGGCAGGATCCGGTATTCAAGAAAAGGTCTTTATTGTACATGTTGGCTTCTATTGCTTGTATCCCCCTTTCCCCATCCCATGTAGTGCAAAAAATTCAGAGAAACAGAGTTCCACATAAATAAGTCAGGTAACTTACAGAGAAATCAAAGTGACGACGGTTTGACATGGAGTAGACCGGGTCTGCCTACCAGTAAGGTCAAGCAAACCTCTCGCCCCACATCGGGGCGAGGGCTCCTGCCTAACCTTGCCATCCCACCGCAGACTGACACCGGGGTCCCTGGGCAAAACACATCAACACACCCAGCCTGGAGCCACCCACTCGGGGATGCTCCTCTGCTGGGAAAGAAAAGCTCACATGGGAAATCACACAAAATAACATTTTGGGGTGAGACGCCACTAATGAAAACTGGCAGAGAAGCCACACACAGTTGACAGTTCTCCTCCCCTCGGGTAGGGTACTACGCATGGACAGACAGACACAGACGCACATCACATCCCCTCCTGCTCAGCCGGGGATGTGCAGCACCAGAAGCGATTCCACCCCGGGATGTCCCAGGACAGATGCTGACACCTCGTGTCCACACAGTGTGGGTCGGGGTGCTCCGGACCCCCGCAAACTGCTGGGGAACTATTTTGCCCTTTTCTTCCTTCTTCCTCCTTTCCAGGAAAGCAGTGAGCACCTGCATAGTTAGTACAGAGACACCGAAGGCTCCCTCCTCCCCGAATTTCTGCAGAGCAGGCTCAGCGGTGATATTGCTCAGGACCCAGGCGGTGGGTGACAGGAGTCACGCTGCCCCTCTCCCTGATCCGCAAGAGGCAGGACAGCATCGCACACCCATTCGTAGTGGAAATTGCTAAAAGTTACAACTGGGGCCAAGGGCACATGGCACAAAAATTCTCCTCAGCCTCCTGCACAGCTCACTTCCCAGGTTTTGCCTGGCTGGCCCCCCACAAAGGCAGCAGCCCCCCTGCATGCTACGGCAGCCCCCA